TATTTAATTCAGCATCGTCTGATTTAGCGGGGATGGTTCCAATACCGGTTCAAAGAGAAGGTGACATTTGGCCTGCATCTTAAAGAATGAGTAAGAATTTCCTAGGTGGAACGTGAGTAAGGATGTTACCTGTGAAAAGAGCAGCATAAGAGAGTAACTGGGAAGGCTAGAGATGAAAAGGGAAAGGTGATATGTAGTTTGACTGTGACTAAAGAGAGTTTCTATTGTGTCTTTTAGGGCAGGGAAATCCATGAATGTTTCTACATAGGGAAGTTTGGAAGAATGCCTTGGCAAGAGTCTAAGGAAAGAGCTGAGTAAGTAGACCAAAGAGGAAATGAGGTCAGTTAGGAGGATACCACAAGGGTCTAGTTGAGTGAAGACAATACATGCTATATGAAGCCTTTAGGAATGCATAGGGTGAGAATAATAGATTCAGAATTAATTAAAATAGTGCCCAAAACCTTTACTTTTTGTTGTTAAGTGTCGTTGAGTAGATTCTGACTCATAGCAACCCTGTATAGGGTTTCCTAGAAACGGCTGATCAGTTTAATCTGCCAACCTTGTGGTTCAAACCAACTGCCTAGTGCTGTCCTACAGCGCCACATTAGAACTTCATCCGTATCCTAAATATTCAGTGCACATCACTGACCAAATGGAGGAATCTTTGTAGCAACAGAGCTCTGGCTGCAGATGTCACAAGTAAAATGTTTGAGTCTATCTGTGTACTGATCTGTTCCGTTTTAATACCATCATATAAAAGGGAAAATGGGCATATTTTTATGAGTAGATCCTACAATGACTGCAATTCCCTTTTGTTATTATTATTATACAAAAGAGCAAAATGGAGAAAAGCATGCATCTTCTTAAGAAGACAACATTTTCTAAGCAAATGTGTTTTTCAAGATATGCAAATTTTGTGTCTCAATATGCTTGACAGCATTCCTTAATTTAAGCATTTTTAGTGGTGAGAAAAATGATTTCATATACAAGCACTGCCTTCAGAGATATAATATGAAAAGAGGAAGAAGCAGCAGCAAGGTAAAACAAACTAGATAATTAGCACTTTCTGTAGAAAGGAACGCCAATAACTAACTCTGAGACTTTGAGGCAGAAGTTGTCTTGAGGACATGAAAGGATTCTTTATAGCGAAGCAAACAAGTTTCATCAGGTGTGTGTGTGTGTGTGTGTTTATGTGCTTAGTGAGGCTGTCTTTAATTGTTCATGTTTCTCCCCAAATTCCAGAATTCTGTTATTATTTTTCTTTATAGACAAATAGTGGTTATCACAAGTATATTTGCCCTTGGGTGACATGCAACTCTAACAAACATTAAGTCATTGTCAGTTGGGCAATGAAATTAAAATTAATTTCAATGACACACAGATAAAACAAGTTCAAGCACAAAAGCAAAGAATCTGTATTTAGTATTAAATGGATGCCAGTTCATATTAGCAAGTTAATATCCTAATGCTTAGACAAGTTAAAATGTTCTGTAGCATTTTTTAAAGGTAAAAGCTTTCACAAATTTTTATTTACCAAGTTTTCTTGCCAATTAGTGTCTTCCATGAATTGATGGAATATAAATAGGCAAGTAAGCATCTACAGTGTCCAGGCATGGCACTATAAATCAATTTACTGTTTGGATACAAAGATATAATCATATGTAGAAGAAATGTATAACTTTTTTTTAAAACTAGGCATGCAGCCTAGGTTTCTGTTTCCAAACCTATTTGTTATGTCTCACACTCAGGCACAATGATCAGAACTGTTAAACTGCAGGGACCCAGTCTCATCTTCACTGTGATGCCATGGCTCTGGGGTGGGACCTGGATCTTTGATCTAACAAACCACAAAGGTAATTTAGATGCACAGCCAATTTGAGGAACCTCTGGGGCCAAAGGGAAGTTTTCTATAAACCAGAGGTTCTCAACCCTGGTTGTACATTGGTGATGGCGGTTATGTGCCATGGAGTCGGTTCCAACTCATAGCGACTCTGTACAGTGTTTCCGAAGCTGTAAATCTTTACAGGAGCAGAAAGCCTCATCTTTCTCCTGCGGAGAAGCTGGTAGTTTCGAACCGCTGACCCTGAGGTTAGCAGCCTGACTCATAACCACTACGCTACCAGAGCTCCTGCTCATTAGAGAACTCTTTAAAAACCAAACCCACTGTCATTGTTATTGTTTTTATTGTTAAGTGCTGATGAGTTGGTTCCAACACACAGCATCCCTGAGCAATGTTTCCAAGGGTGTAAATCTTTGCAGGAACAGTAAGTTTCAGCTGTCTCCCAAGGAGTGACTGGTGGGCTCCAAATGTCGACCTTGTGGTTCGCAGTCCATGTTTATCCTACAGCGCCACTGTACTCCCAATTCTGACTCATAGTGGCACTATAAGATGGAATAGAACTGCCCCATAGAGTTTCCAAGGCTGTAAATATTTATGGAAGGTGGCTGGTGTGTTGGAACTGTCAAACTTCCTGGTTAGCAGCCAAACACATTAACCATTGGGAGCTTTCAAAAATGTCCAGACCAATACCAGGCCAATTGCATCAGAATCTCAGGGTATGATGTTCAGGCATCTGCATTTTTCAAGGTTCCCAGTAATTCTATTTATAATAGAGCCACCATTATAAAACTTCTATTGATCAGCACCAATATCTAGACCATTTATTTTCCTAAAACTATTGGGAGTATTCTGTTGAATCAATTGTTTTAATATAGATGAACAAGAGTCATCTGCGCAGTTTCAATTTTCTTAAAAAATGAGTTTCTAATCCAAACTCATATTTTTTCTATATTTTCATACAAGATAGAGAAAAAAAAGTATGTCTTTATGCTATTTCCCAATTTACTGGCATCGAAGTAAACTGGAGGAAATATTTACAATCTAAGAAATTTACTATAAAGGGAAAACATTAGGTTCAATAGTAAGAAAGACTTCAGGTTTGTACGGAGCAAAAAAAAAAAAGATGTCAGATCAGTATAAGAATTTCAATACCACACTCCTCAAAAGATTAAAATGGGTCTGATAATGTATGCTTTTATAGGGAACATTTCCTAATTCCTTGAGTGTTTTGTTTTGTGGGGGAAAAAAATGTTTCTCTTACACAACAACAAAAATCAAAAAAGGAAGATTCATCCAGGTTAATCAAGCAGAAAAAGAAAATAAATGTGTGACTATTTTTTGAAGTGAAAATCAAAGAACATCCCATTAAACCTATGAGAGATGTAAAATTACAGAAGGCAGATATGAATGATTCTTTCAAATACTCATATTTAACCAATAAGTCTAAGTATCTCAACATGTTCTGTATTCAGCAATAAGAATGATGGTCTACATGAGGTTATAAATATAGAACATATCTCAAGGAAGCAGTTAAAAATCTATATTATGATCATTGTTATTTAACTAAAGCACATGCAATTCTCTTTCAAAGCTGTCATTTAGTTTTTAAAAGCAGTGTCTAAATGTGAAAATCTAGTAGCTCACTAGATGTATCTATGTTTTCCATTGGCAGCTCGTTTTCTATAAAGCATCAAGATATTAAAATAAAGCGCCCAGTCATGCTATTCTCAGAAGTCACTACATTGTGCCACATTTTATATACCTTTCATTGATTTCTTCAAACGACTTATGGGAGAGAGAGGATGAAACAGAGGGAAAAGGGAGGAGAGAGAGAGAGAGAGAGAGAAACCAATTAATACCTACATGAAAAAACAGTCAAGAGCATGAAGATAATAGATGTTTTACAATCACGTCCCCCTCAGCATCCCCTAAGGCTATTCCTCTTTGGGGGCTTCAGTCTTGACTGCATGGATTTCAGTATTTGTTTCTGACTCAACTCTACTTGCTGTGATCATTGAGGTCTGCAATGAATTGCTTAACCTCTTCCTTTCTTTATCTTTTACAAATTGGTTTCGCCTCTAGAATGGGATTCTCTGACTCAAAAAAATGACTTAAATTGTTCAAAGTGGGATATACATCAAAAGCCTTATCAGAAGTTATCTCTGGGTGATACCTTTTCACAAATGGATAGATAGTATTACTTTTGTAAACAAAAACAATGTTCTAGAGTGGGGGTGGGGGTGGATGTTAGACTTATGAAATCATGTGGTCTGGCCCTACCAAGGCAACCGCAAGCACCACTTGAAATTCATTTACTAATCTAGGAGCTTTTTTCATAGCAACATAAATTTATATTAAGTGATATTATAAATATCCTTGGCAGAAAAGAAGTTCCCCCAACCCTGTTCTAGAGAGAAAGAAATGTTTCCATTAAAGATATGGTGAACACAAAGCACTTCATTAATTTTATACTTTAGTTGGCAAGATGAGCCCTATTTCAAAATATTGAAGTTTTGCCTTGATTAAACATAAAGCAACCTAATGATTTTAGTTCTTCTTTAAGTATGGCCAGGTCCTCCTCATCCAAATTTGTCCTGGCTAGTGATATCCCCAAAGACAAATTAAACTCCTAATGCGGTCCCATTTTACCTTGCTCTGTCTCCAAACGTCATTACAAGACTAGGAGGGGGATCTAATTTGGAAGGAGATCCCCATTCCTTGTAAAACAATGCTTTTCTCCCATTGACAATTAGCTTAGCTTAAGACCGCTTTCAGAGAAAACATCTCCATGAATCCTTGCTAATCCTGGTTCTATGGAGATTCAGCATTTTAGGAATCAAAGGAAAGGAGCAGATTGAGAAGTGCCAAGGGAACCCACCTCTACCCAGTTACTTGTTTTAATTAAGGAATCCTGTCCCCAGGAAGACCCCTTGTAACCCAAAACCAACCCACTGCCATGGAGTTGATTCCAACTCCAAGCAATACTCTATGATACAGAACTACTCTGTAAGGTTTCTGAGGCTATAAATATTTACAGGAACAAACTGCCCCACCTTTCTCCCATGGACCAGCTGGTGGGTTTGAACTACTGACCATGCAGTTAGCACCACCAGGGCTGCTTCCCCCTTGTAAGACCCCAACATATTACCTGGGAGATGTACACCATCACTATGTTGTTGTTAAGTGCCATCGAGTCACTTCTGACTCACAGCGATCCTGTATAGGGTTTCCAAGGAGCAGATGGTGAATTCAAACCATCTTTCCTACAGTTCAAATCAATCTTGCATTATCCCATAGCAAGGTTGATTTGAACACCAAGATTCTATCATCACTATAAGTGTACCAAATTACTCTCAGCCACTTGGCAAGGCTCAGAGAGAATGTTCTATATGAGAAGTAACTTCAGACTTGGGAGTGAAGCGAAAGGCCCAGAGACCAGTATAAGGAAGCCAGGTGCTAGAAGAGGTGCTGGCACCAAAGGAAAAACATGGGAATGAATAAGGTTCTAGAGGCTGCTTCTTTTCCTTTGGGAAGGTGGCCGATCCTGCATGGCAGATGGAATAGGATTTCTTTCATAAATGACACTGTGACCTGCTTTTCCTTCCATGTACCAATGAGCTGGACCTGGGTATCATGGCTGTAGGTATTTGCTGGTCTTTTATTTAGGTATGAGGCATACCTTGGTAATTCTTAAATGTTAGAATCATATAAACCTAGCACAGAGATATGAATGATTTTAGGGAACACTGAAAGATGAATTTTTCAAAACAGACTTGGGCCAGGTGGGTTCCATGATGCTTGGGCCTGCTTTAAGTGTGCTTACAGTCAGGAAAACGGTCTCGTCCAGCTCTTCTGCTTCTCTCACGATGGTTTCCAGGGTGTCCTTGGCAGTGTCCATGCTCTGCAGAAAGTGGACCATCTGGTCATGCAGGAATTCCATCTTCTTTTTCTTCACTTCCTCAAAGCTCTGGGCCTTCTCATCGTATTGTGCTAAAACCTTCTTCATCATTTCCTCATTCTGTTCTTCCAGTCTTTTCTCATTTTTGCTACAGTTTTCCTAAAAAATCAAAAAGGAACACTTCTGAGTGAACAAGTGCACTTAAAAAAATAAAGTAACACCAGACTTGTAAAGAACTGACCTCTGACATCCTAATAAGAGAATTTTACTTCTCTAAGGAGCTCTGGTAG